CAGGTCAAGGGGGTGCCCGTGGTCTGCAGTGGCCCTGTTGGCACTTGGACCCACTGACCTGACGGCTCCAGTTGGGCACAAGGTAGGAACAAGGGCGGCCAGATCCTGCCCTGCAGGCATCTTGCTGGGAGAGGAAACAAGGTGCCACCCAGAGAAACAGATGTCAGGCCCCAGGGCCACTCTTCTCCCCAGTGGTTCCCAGTAGCTCAGGACCACTCACCTACCCATCATCCACCCCCCCGCCCATCATCCACCCACCCATCCATCCATCTGCCCATCACCCCTCCGTTCACCAGCCATCTACTCATCAGGACTTTTCCTGGTTCAGCTGTCATGGCTCCGCTACTCTCTCTAGTCCTCTCTCTAGAGGCAACTGCAGGGCAGAGACAGAAGAACACGAGTTCACGGGTGCCAGGAAAGCCATGGGCAGAGGGACTGTGAGCCCAGCCCCAGGGCAGCCTGTCCACAGCACACCCCACACCTACCCATCCCTCAAGCTGACGGCCTGGCACTGACACATGGGACCAGAGGGAAGGGAGTTGGGAGCATGTCCAAATCACCAAGTCCCTACCCCCAACCCTCCAAAGACCTGGAGCACCCCTGGAGCAGGGAGGAGGAGACCCAGAGAGGTGACCCTGAGTGGGCCGCAGGGCAGGCAGCTGGGCCTTCAGCCCCAGCCCAGCCCAGACTGACGGCCTGTGCTTCCCCCCAGCCCGGGCCCTGCACTGCCACGTGTGCTGCGGCCACGAGAACTGCGAGTCTCTAGTGGAGTGTGCCCCGACGGACAAGTTCTGTGTGATCACCAGGGCGAGTGAGTACCCTGGGCCACGCGGCCCTGGCCTGCCCACCTCCGCACCCAGCCGGAGCCCAGTGCCCAGCCCCACCTCAGTCAGATCCCAGGGACACCCTCCAGTCCACGTAGGAGATGAGGGATCAGGGGCAGCTGTCCACACACTGGCACCTGGAAGACGCCAGCCCCACTCCACCCCAGCTCCTAAGCCCAGCCTTCCACATACTGTGTGCCTCTTGGACTCTTCCCAGCTCCCTCTCAAATCAGCCATGACTGCCATGCCCTCCTGCCCCAGTGCCCGCTCCCTGAGCTGGACCTCTGCCCTGTCCACATTGTAGCAGAGCAGCCTCCTCCAGAAGCCACTGCCTGCCGCCCTTCCCACACCTCCACAGGCCAGCGCTCCTCCTTCCTGTGCCCCTCTGCACCCGGGCTTTGGGGGCTGAGCTAGGGCCAGAGCTCAGGTGTGGGGCCAAGAGGTGCCTGTGACAGGAGTCTGGGCAGTGCACGGGAGTAGCCCAGAGGTCACCTCACAGGGCCTGAGCAGGACAGAAGAGAAGGTGCTGCGCACAGTGAAGCAGGTCACCGTTGGTGACCCTGAGGGCTGTAAGGCCTGACCCAGTTGCAAAGGATGAGACTGGGCAGTGGGGAAGCTGGCCAGAAGGGGCAGCAGGACCAGGTGAGACTGCAGAGAAGGAAGGAAGTGTGCAGGCAGAGCCTCTGACCTTGGTCAGGGGACCCTGGGCAGTGTCACCTCTAAGCCTGGGGTGCTCTCCCCTTGCAGCTTGCTGCCACCATTGGGATCATGTCCATGAGGTTGTCTGGCCCCTGATAAATGGCAGCTGCAGTGGTGACTGTCCCCAGGCTCCTGGCCTGCGTGTCAGGCAGGGGAACCAGGCAGCACTGCAGCTCCGGGCCATTCCCTGGGCCACAGACTCCTACAGCTCCCAGAGATAACAAAAGCACCCTCAGACTCAGAGTCACCCATCTACCGAGGCAGTATCCTCCCCGGGCCCTACAAGGACCCAGGTGGCCCTTGTGTACCTCCCAGCCCTGGAGAATGAGGGGAAGCAGCATGTGCCCCTCCAGGCCCCCCACTCAGCAGAGCAGGGCCCTGCCTGGAGACACCTGCTCGGCCCGCTCTCCACCCTGCTCCACCCTGCTCCGTACCCCCGAGCTCGGGCACACTCGCCCTTCCGAGGCTCACGTGAGGCAGGGGGTGGCAGGTCAAGGGGGTGCCCGTGGTCTGCAGTGGCCCTGTTGGCACTTGGACCCACTGACCTGACGGCTCCAGTTGGGCACAAGGTAGGAACAAGGGCGGCCAGATCCTGCCCTGCAGGCATCTTGCTGGGAGAGGAAACAAGGTGCCACCCAGAGAAACAGATGCCAGGCCCCAGGGCCACTCTTCTCCCCAGTGGTTCCCTGTAGCTCAGGACCACTGGGCACCCCTCGCCTGCAGCCTCGTCTCACAGCCAGACAGTGCCCAGTGCCCTGAGGGCCCCAGCCTCCTTGGGATGGGGGTTCTCTCGGGCTCTACAGACTCCTACTCCACGCCCCTCCCTCCCTAAATAGTCACCGTGTCCCTGAGTGCCAGCTGGGGTGGGTTCAGAGATGGGTGCAGACTCCGGTCCTCCAGGGACCTCAGGGTCACCGCTGACCATGGGACAATAGAGTGCCAGGCTGACAAGTAGTCAGGGGCACTCCTCTGAGGGGCACAGGAAGCACCCTGGAGCAGAGCAGGAGGCTGGGGACACAGCCTTGGCAGGAAGGTCCAGGTGGAAGGACCCCACACCCTGGGCTGCCAAGCTGACCCCAGCAGGTGGTGGGACTCCCTGACTCTCCTGGCCCTGAGGAGGGAGGGAGAGGCCATGAAGCTGCGTCAGAGACTGACCCTGCCGAGCCTGGCCCGCGTCCGTGCCCACCTCTGACTGGAGCCTGCCACGGTCCGGCTCAGTAGCCCATCTCTTGGGCAAGGAAGCCAGCTCAGAGCCCAGCCAAGGAAGGAAGGCCGAGCTCCGGCCAGAGCCAGAGCTTTCTTTCTCCAAACCAGTGCTGGCAAGGACACTGTGCCTGTCCACGTCCCCAGCAATCACTCAGAAATGGCCGGTGAACATTGTCTCTCCTTCCCCTGACCCATCAAAAAAGCTCCTTGCTTAAAAAACTGGGCATAATGACCTATTGGCCACAGGTCTCAAGAAACGACTCACGCAGGGCAGGATGGGAAGGGGTGCCACTACCTGCCGTCCTGTCCCACCCTGGGAGGCTGCGTCCTCAGAGCCTCTCAAGAGTCCACTCAGCCTTAGCCAGCAGGTGGGTTCGCACTGACCTCAGAGGCTCCCTGTGTCCAGGAGAGCTTCGTTCCTCCTGGACCCAGCGGCTCTGTCCTTCCACTCTGCCAAGGCCGGGAAAGGGCTGCTCAGAGTTGGCCCCGAACTCTGCTGTCACCCACCAACACGACCCCAAGTTCACTCGTGACCCGGAACAAGGCCAGAGGCTGCTGGCTCCACTGTTACCGATGGAGAGACCGAGGCACAGGGGCCTGGCCCGCGAGGGGCAGAAGCACCTGACCCCACCCGCCTATTTCTGGGCCAGTTGTAAACAAGAGGCCCCTGGGGGCTGGCCCGCGTCCTTGCCCACCCCGACTGGAGCCTGCGTGTCAGGCAGGGGACCAGGCAGCACTGCAACCCCACCTACAGCCGCCGGCCTCCCCCGCGCCCTGTGCACACAGATGCAGAGTCACCTCCCAACAGCAGCCGTGAGGCCTGGAGGCAGCGTGCAGGCCTGGCCACCCTGTCCCTTGCTGCCATCGCAGGCTTCCTAATCCCCGGACGACCAGGGCTGAGGGTGGGGTCGGTGCCTTCCTGAAGCCCAGAGGAGGAGAGGGGAAGGGAGGGAGGAGCCTCCAAGTCGCTCCTTGGACTCAGAGACCACAACGGTGCAGGGAAGGGGGAGACGGGTCACTGCAGGTGCCAAAGTAGGACCCCACCTGCTCCTCCGAGGCTCCACCTCAAGCCCTCGCAAGCATCCGAAGTCCCAGGAGCCCCCCAAAGCAGGCTGCGCCCTGGGTGTTTAGGGCTGGGTGGGTGCCGGGCCTCTGGGCCTGTGGTTCATGCCACCCAGGAACCCCGTCCTCTCTCCACAGCCAACCCCGGCGGCATCCTGGTCATGAAGTCCTGCGCCCCGACCTGCCCCAACAGCACTGTGTCCTCGGACGGCCGCGCCCTCTCTGTCTCCTGCTGCGACGGCAGCCAGTGCAACCGTAGCGCAGCCTCGGGCCTCGGGGGCAGCCTGGGGACCCTGGGGGCCAGCGCCGCTGTCAGCCTGCTGTGGGCCCTGCTCCACGCGGCTTGGTGAGGGTCCAGCCTGCATCTCTGCGCCTCGCAGCAGGGGTCTGTCTGGAGGCCCCAGACCCAGCTAGCACCCCTCCCCCACTTCCCCAGGACAACCCAGCCCCCTCCCCAGCCCTTGCCCAGAGAGAAATGAAGGACCACAGCCCCTCAGTCCCCTACCAGATGAGGAAAGAGCCCCTCCTGCCTTGGAGGCCGTCCAATAGGCTGCCCAGGAGGGGACATCTCCAGCCGGCTCAGCCCTTTCCTGCTCCTGAGGCTTCCTGGCCACTGTGGAGTGGGAGGGGTGCCCAGTCTCCCAGCTGTCTGCACCCCCACTCAGGGCTAAGACCCAGGGGCTAGGCTGGGGTTCTCCCTCTCAAGGGTGCCTGTAGGACCCTGTGCTCATGGCTGTGGGGCCCTGGGCCTCTCCTGTGCCAGGAGTAGCCCTGACATGGAGAACACGGCTGTGAGTTTGGGGCAGCTCTCTGCACCCCGTGCAACCCCCGTTCTTACCCCGTTCACCCACCCGCCACCACCCACTGCTGTCACTCACTGTTCCTCACTCTCACACATCCCATCTACCACTGACCACAGCACTGACCAGTCACAGAGCTACCTCCCAGGGCTTCCCAGGGAATCCAAATGCTAGCCAGTGCCCCCAGCCCAGGGACCACCACCAGCCCCTGTCCAGGTGAACACAGGCTTTTTAAATGGTCCCTTGGTGGCCCCCGTGGGGGTGGGGCAGGGCCTTGGGACTTGGTATCAGGCTTTGAGACACGGGCGGTGGGCTGTCCATTCCCACAGGGCAAGGGGAGACCCTCCTACTTCCAGAGAGCGCTGCCTCCCAGCCCGTTCCCCAGGGTGTCCTGAGACATGAATAAAGTGGCAGAGATGTCAGGTCCGGGGGGCTTTCTGGTCCTTGGTCTTCGCACTCAGAGAGAGGACGGGCCTCAGCCTGACAGCCGGGGGCCTTGGAAAAGGCTGCTGGTTCCCCTGATGCCCAGCCCAGGCATGAGGGAGAGCACTTGCTTGGTTCCTTGGTCTACTGCAAGCTCAGGAAGGCGCTCGGAGTGCGTGTCCAGTCAGTCCCAAGTGGGGGTGCCCTTGGGCTGCTCTGGGGAGCTCTTCTGAGCCTTGGTGTCCCCCAGGGTGCCCACGTCCTCCTTGGTGTCCCCACGTGGCCTCATCCTCCTGCTGCCGGGGCCCCATGTCCTCGCGGTCCACATCCTCTCCGCCCCCTGACAGGCCCTGGGACTCTGAGGCCTCTCAAGGCCACGTCGCCTCCCAGGGCTCTTTCTGGGGAGCAAAACCAGAGCCCCCAATTCTGGAGGAACTCTGTTCCCCCACCTTCAGCCCAGGGCTGGCCTGCAGGGGCAGCAGGAGGCCCACCTCAGAGCCCGCCCAGGTCCTACAGGCCTGGGTTTCCCTGCTCCTGCCATGGGCCTGCCTGCCCTGCCCACTCCAGTGTCCAGTCCTGAGTCCTTCCCTGCTCTTCTACCCTTTGGAGTTCAGAGGCTGGAGAGATGTCGTTTCCCTTCCCCTACTTCTTTACCCCCATGTCCCTGCCCCAGGTGACAGGAGCAAACACTGGGCCCAGGCAAGTGGAGGCAGGCCTCCTGCCCACCTGGCAGAGCCGGCTCTCAGGGCCAGGTGTGGCTGCGAGATTCCCTCAGCAGTGTCTGTCTCCACTCTGGGAGTCTGGCAGCGGGGGAGGCCAGGCACCCAGCCTCCCCCACAGTCTCCCTTAGCCTCTACCCTCTTCACCTGCCTGCTACAGGGTCACACCCAGAAGGAGGAAGGCCCCACCACAGTCCCACCTGTCCACTGGCCCCTGCCCCTTTGTGCCCAGACTCGAGCCCCCTGCCTGCATGTTCCTGAACAGCCTTGCCTGGCTGACCCCGCCCTGTGCAGTGGCCACTCTGTGGGACAGGGGTGTAGCTGGAAATGAGGGTCAGGACACGGAGATGTGGAACCCACACTTTACCAGTGGAGCCACGGCCCAAAGGGAGATTCCCAAAGTCGGGCCCCGAGCGCAGCAGGGTTCTCACTTTCATACATAAGCAAGTTTGGGGTGCAGCAAGGCAGGGAGTTGGTGCCCTTTCCCTGGAGGGTGTGTTCTACGTCTCCTGTGCGGGCACAAGCTCGTGCACAGTCCAGGGACTCCACATACAACTCGGGGACTTGCACTAAGTCTGAGGGGACGGTTCCTTTGCTTTGTTTCCTGCTTCTGCTGCTGAGGTTTTCTGTCACAGGCACCTGCAGCTGCTGCAAGCCTCTATGGTGATCTGTCCCTGTGCAGAGCGGCTGTGCTTCCTCCTGCAAGACCGCAGCCCGCCAGCTCTGCCCCTGCTCAAGTTCCTATTGTGTTTTTCTACCACCTGGGAAGGGGGGCTGGGGCAGGGGGTGGGGTTCCGCTGGGAAGACAATGAAGGGCAGTGCCCCCACTCTGAGCTGCCCCCTGGAAGCCAGGCTGTCGGACCCCTCAGCCTTTGGCCCCAGCCTCCAGGCCCTGCGTGGCCTGCCACTCTGGGTTCCTTGGGAGTGCTATGGCCCCCGTGAGGGACAACCCTCCAGGAGCCACATGGGTCTTCTCTTCTTAAGGGTGGAAAGCCCAGCAGGACCCAGGAGGGACCCACCCTTAGGGCAGCCCCCACCTGCAGGTCCCCAGGGAGACCGTCAGATGCCACATGGCATCACACCACCTCCTCTCAGAGCTCCCTGCTCCACAGGCAGGCGGGACAGGGAGGCTCTGCCCCTCCCACCCAGCCCCCAGCTGGGGGGGGGGTGGCGAGGGCAGCCTGGGTTCTCCACTTGCCACACACTGAGTCACCACACACCCAGGTGCCCCTGCACACCAGGCTCCATGGACTTGGGATATCGAGGGACAGCAGGCTGGGTCCCTGCCCTTAAGCAGGAGAGGCGGGGGGCCCTGTGAGCAAAGCAGCAAGCCCCCGTGGCCCCGTAGCAGAGAGGAGGGAGGACAGGCCTGGGGAGCGTGGCCGAGATGCCGCCCGTGGGAAGACACTGACCGTGGGCACAGCACAGCCAAGGCCTGGAGGAGGGGGATGGGTCCCGGGACTAGAGGAGCCCACACGCTGGGAACAAATAGGGGTGGGCCCCTGCGAGTGGCAATAAACCTGGCCAGCCCAGAGGGCGCTGAAGCAGGGCCAGGAGGCGGGTCTGACCTCAGGCACTCCGTGGGCAGAGGCCCTCCATCATCATCTGTGTCTAGAGTCTCGCGCCCTCCTGGGGACAACACTGGGGATCCCGAGGGGATGGCAGGGCTGGGGAGGCAGTCTCAGCCAGAGATGGGGCTACAGAGGAGAGAGAGGAAGGAGGGAAATGGGGGACCAGGACTTGGTCCCTTCTTGCTGCTAGACTGGTTCGAAGGAGCCATTGCCATATGTGGGGACAGGAGCCAGCAGGCTTGGGACAATCACCCCTGAAGGCCAGGATGGAGGGAGGCATCCAGAGCCCACAGGAACTCGGCCAAGACTCAAAGTGCAGGCGAGCCAGACCCGGGGCCAGCCTGTGGCGGCCCTGCTGGGAGGGCCGTGGGGAGCTCTGGAGGGAGGCGGGCCCTCTAGACTCTGCCAGCTCAGGCTGCACCTCTGTCCTGGCACCGCTCCTCTGCCCCACAAGGGCCTGCCAACGTCTCGCCCCACGTAACCTAGGTGCTCACAACACACTTGAACCCTGAGGACTGTGGCAATGAGAGCTCAGGGAGGGCCCAGTGGGACTGGTAACAACATGCAAACTCCTGGGTCAACGTCCCCGTCCCTGCCCCAGACAGAGCACCAAAGTGGGGTCCCTGGCTACCAGGCCAAGCCCACCTACTCCAGACTCAAGCTCAGAAGCCACCTGAGCCTAGAGGGACCCCAGTCCCCCCCCCCCCCGCTCCTATCATGCCATGTTCAGAGAGCTGGCCTGCTCCCAGAGACGAGGACCAATGACAGAGGCCAACCCGACAAGCATGTCGCAGGCATGCCCTTTCCCCTCTGGGCGAGCATCCCAAAGCCCCTCCCTGGGTAAGGCCGCCGGCTGCAGGCGGGGCGGGGTGGGCTCCCTCATATCATATAATCCTTAAAAAGAGCCTGTCTGAAGACTGGGTGTCTCAAGTCCCAGAGCTACCGCCCTCCACCTGCAGACCCAGGGTCTCGGAGCCCCCCGTAGCTACTCTGCAGCTTGAGAAGGACCGCTGTCCCGTAGGGAAGGTGCGTGTGGGTGGGAAAGGGCAGGGGAGACGAGGAAGCAAAGCAGAAGCAACCTGGCATCTGCCCTATCTCCAGGGGCACAGCCCTCCAGTGGGGACTTCTAGCTGGGGACAGGGCCTGGAGGAACAAAGCAGACCACCACGTGGCCCTTTCCTGGGATGAGCTAAAGGTGCCCATGCCCATGGGCCTGTGGGACTCCACCCTGGGAGTTGGTCTGCACTGACTCACAGGGAGGGGTCCCTGGGTGGGGTAGGAACTCCAAAGGCACAGGGAGGCCCTCAGGGAGAGTCAGAAGACCTAGGCCCATCCAGAGGGCGGGGAGCAGTTGGGAAATGGATATCTGGGAAGGGACTCTGGGTACCGTCACCGTCCTGGCACTTGTTCCCATGACTAAGGGAAATGTCATTGTGCAGCACTGCTGAATTCACCCAGGTCGTGACAAGATCCAACTCACTGCTTCTTCTGGAACCATCAACCCACACAGCGCCCCACTCCTCATCCCCCACCCTGTTCTACTCCTCTTCATAGGTTCTGTCCATACCACATGTCCCAGAATGCATTTTGCTTTCTTTATTGAGCAAAATAAAACCTTCGGCACAGTCCTGAAAAAGTGAATTCCGTGGGGAGGAAGGTTCCTCGTTCGTGCGGGCCTTCCTGTGGGCTGTCCAGCAGGCCACCAGCCCATGTTGGTGCTCTTCCGACCGTATTTATGTGATGGAAGATGGATGAATGGGCACAGGGACGGGTGGATGGATAGATAATGGATGGATATGAACTGATGCATGGATGGATGGATAAATGGATCAGTGAATGGAGAGGGGATGGATGCGTGAATGCATGAATAGATGGGTAGATGAAAGGATGGACGGATGACGGGTAGGTGCATGAATGGACCAGGGTGTGGATGATGGATGAATGGGTGATGGCTAGATGAACTAGTGTGGAGGGGGATGTTGGGAGCAAGTGAAGGCAGGAAGTGAAGAGGATGCTGTGTCCTCTTCCCCCATGGAGCTCAAGGCTTGGCAGCCACCGTCTCTGGGCTATAACGGGAGGTGAAGGGAACTGCAGCTCAGCAGAGAGGTGAGCCCAGAGGTTGAGCCTAAGTGCAAACCCTCATCCTTCCCTCGAACCTTGGAAGGAATTTATCTCAACATGCAGAGAGCAGGTCACCTTCCAGGTACCTGGTCCTCGGGGCCAGAGTCAAGCCCACACTGCCACAAGCCTGCCGTCCTGGTTTGGGGTCCCCATAGTCATTTGTGCCACTCTGCCCCACTTCATCATCACTCACTAAAGTCTTCTCCCTCATCACCCAGACGGTGGCACTAGGCACCCCTGGCTGAGACCTTGGTGCCCGTGTCTGTGGGTCCTACCACACAGGCCTGAGAACTGGTTGCTCCCTCTCTGAAGCCTAGGGCCGAAGTCTTGCCCTTCCCCAGAGCAGGCCCCACCCAAGGCAGGGCTGAGCTGCTCAGGCTGACTCCATGACGTGCTCTTGGACAAGTACCGTGGCGGGCAGAAAGGAGAGGCCCAGCAAGGATGAGGGCCAGCACAGGGCATGGCGCCAGCCACACCCCCAGACCCGACCCAGTACATGGACACTAACGGCACCCAGCCCAGCCCAGCCCAGCCATGGGGGAGGGTACACAGGAGAATAACTGCTGGGGGCCAGGGTCCCAGAGAAGGAGCAAAGATGCAGGCAGGGTCATGTAGGCCCTGGGAAGCAGGCGGGCAAGACCCACTTCCAGGCTGAGCGTCAAGGTGACTCCGGTGCTCGGGGGGAGGGCTGTGGAAGAAGAACCCCAGGCCCCGGGGACAGGCCCAGCTATGACTCCACTGGCAGGGTCACCGAGGCCCTGCCTGCCAAGTGTGTGATCTGGAGGGACTAAGTGGCCCAAGGGAAACCCTGCCTCACTGACTCCTGTGGGAGAGCCCCAGGTGACAGGGGACTTGGAGCCAGGCCCCGGTGCACTTGTGAAGATGTCCTCCTTGCTCCACAGCTGATGGCCACCTCCCCTCAGGTCTCCCTTAGATGGCTCCACCCAGGTCTGCCCTCCTGCGGCCCAACCTTCTGGAGGGTTACATGTCTGCCGTGTTAGGGGCCAGGCTCCATGGGCCACGGCCAAACAGACTCCATTGTACCCGAGGCTCCACGTCACGTGCGACGTGCTTCTCCCAGGGAGAGCCCCCTCTGTGCCCGTGGACTAAGCATGTTTGGCAACACAAGATGGCGATTCTCATACAGTGTAAAATCATTCTCTTTGGTTCCCATTTTTCCTGGACAATGTACCCTGTCAGAAACTGACTGTCTAGATGTTAGTAACCATTCTCTAACTTGTACTCAACTAGGGACATTCTGGGTCACTCCCCCTTCTGCTTATGGTTTTAGATCTCATGACGTTCCTTTAGGGTTTTAAATCATAGCAACAGCCACTTATGATTAATATGGTTTGGGACCATAAAGACGACTCAAACCCCAGGAGGGGGTCAAAGGGTGTCGACTTGCAGCCTGCCCCTTGGCCTGCCAGCTGGTGGGTCCGGACCTCCGGCTGGTGAATAAAGCTTCTGTCTCCTGCTTTAAGATCAATTTGGTGATTTATTGCAATCTCGCCTTAACAGCATAACCGCGTACACCACAGATCAGCCTGCCATCTCTCTTTCCCCCGCTGACCTGGGCCTGAGACCTGGGTGCCTGCATATGGTCTGTCCTTATAGAATGCAGACCGAATAAGTGAAGGGCCTGGAGGGGCCTGGGGAGTGGCCAGGACTCGTGCCTGCCCACATGGCAACCTTCCTTTGCCCCAAGGTTCTTGGACATCTCCAGTCCAGGGGCCTGACCTGCTGCCTGGTGTCCGACTTCAGGCCAGGGCAGGGACCAGGGCTACACTTTCAGAGGGCCTGGAGGAGCAGGCTCTGCCCCCTGAGCCAGGGCCTTCCTTTCTGAGCTCAGGCACCTGGTGATCTCCTGGCACACACAGGGGGACCACAGGAAAGCAAAAGGGAGGGACATCAGCAGAGGTCTCTGCTCCAGAGCGAGGTTCAGGCCTGTTCCCCAACTTCCTGGCCACCCAGCCAAGTTCAGGGAGTGGGCTGGGCGAGGGGCAGCACAGTGGAGTCCCTGCTCTCCACTCTCCACCATTCCTATTGCCAATGTCCTGAGGGTACAAGTCCCAGGGACTGAGAGAGAAGGGGCTCTGAAGTGGGAGGAGGGTACTGGAGGGCCAGTGGAGATGGAAAGAGGGCTTGAGACCACTCCAGGGGTGCTGCCCTGTCCTCTCTGCCCTCATGTCCACCAGAAGTAAGGCACCACGGCTCCTGTACCCGCCATACCTCCGAGGCCCCCATCTGGCTGCTGCCTACAGAAAGCTCAGAGTCCCCATTTTCTCCTGAGTGAACTTCCTTCGAGCCTGTTTCACACCTGGGCCAGGAAACTGCCCAGGAAGCCAGCTCACATCCTCTCAGGCAGCCCTGCCAGGGACAAAGGCCCTCCCCACAGAACTGGAGCCCAGCTTCTCTCTTGGCCTCGGGACACACAGCCATGGTGAATCCCGAGGCCCCACCAGCTCCATCATACCCATCAGAAATTCCAAACCTGTTTTTCCAGCAGATTCCTAGCCCAGTGAGTCACCCCTCCCACCTGCATGCCCCATCATCACCACCCTGTCCCCAAGCTCTGGGTTCTGCTTCCCAAGGCCTCCAAGTCACCCTCCCTCCAACAACCCTGCATACCCTGGGCCTGTTGTGCACAGCGGGCCTGGAGCTGGGGTGGCCTTCTGGGCAGCGTGGGCCCTGCATTGCCGGCCCACCCTGTGAGGCTGTGGCAGCCCTAAGCCAGCGCCCCGGGACCGGGATCAGCCAGGGAACAGGAGCCCTTACACACGCAGGCTGCAGAGGTGGGGCCGCCCCAAAGGGCTACTCCCGACACCCCTCTGGGTCCCAAAAGGCAATACCTGTGCCCTCTCTGTCCTTGGGCAGGTCTGGCAGGCCCAGGAACTGTCAGAGAGAACCACACTGCAGTTGTCAGGCAGCCTGTCCTCTGTCCCCCCGCCTACGGCCTTAGCTTTTTTATCCCCAGCTCAACACAGAGCCAGCTGGCCCAGGTGCAGGCCACAAGGGCCCAGCAGTGTCAGAACCACAGGGCTCCCAAGAACTTCAGACTGGCCCAGGCCCAGCCTTGGGACAGGCCCAGAGCTCCCTCCATGTTAGCCTGGCCCCCCAGAGCAGGGGCAGCAGCAGGGGGAGCCGGAGGACTCTGCAGGGTCCACCCACACTCCCAGCTGGGCCCATAGGGGACGCCCCTGCTCCAGTGAGGTGGGTGCTTGAGAGACTAGCTCACCGGGAAAGAAAGTCCCTCTTATACATACAGAGTAAGAAGTGGCCTCTGCCTCCACTCGGGACCAGAGCCAGCACCTGCCAAGGACCCTGGATGCTGGGCCCAGACTTGAGGAACTCCGGCCTGGGAGGATTGAGCAGCCGGGCAGATCAGGATGGTGCTGGTTCTGTGCCCCTGAGCAGGGCAGGGAGTGCTGGGGGGGAGGGTTATGGGCTCCAAGGGAGGGAGGGGTGAGTCCTGCCTCCACAGGCATCTACAATGGCCAGATCTCCACAGCCTAAGGTCTCCACACCACCTTCCTGGCCCACACTCGGCTTCCCAGTGCTGTTCCTGCCCAGTGGCTCCTCCTCCCTAGCCCACAACCCACAGCTGCCCCACAACCTCTGCCTCAGCAGGGATGCCTTACTCCCTAGGGCTCCTTGCTCCAGGGTCCACTGGGCTGACCCAGCACCCTGAATCAGAACCCAGGCAGGCAGGGTCAGCGCCTCTCCCCTGCCTCCCTGCAGTGGGTTCCCCAGAGCACCTGGGACAAGCTGTGGCTTGAAGGACCTCTCTGGGGTTGGGAAATGCAGGGCAAAGACACAAGGAGACAGACCAGGTAGATGGTTAGAGACAATGTGACCCAGGACCAGCAGACAGACAATGAGGGGACTGAGCAGAAGCAGGGAGCCGCAGGGCAGGACGGACACAGAGGCCCTGTGCACACCCAGCCCTGGCTAGGCCCAGAGGGTGGGCTAGGGGCAGTGTCCTTCCAGCTGGCAGGAGCCAGGCATGAGTGGGGCTGGTGGGTGTGGACCAGGCAGAGTGAGGCAGGTCCAGGTGGCCTGCCACTGGCTGGCTGGCTGCCACCCCACACCCTCCACGGCACCATCCAACTATAAGTCCTCCCCAGAGGAGGGGCCCCCACTGCTCCCAGATGATGCTCGGTATGAAGACGGTCCTGCTGCTCCTCGCCATCCTGGCTGTGGCCATGGGCCCAGGTGAGAGGCTAGGCCTGGGGGTCAGGCGAGGGTGGGCAGCTTTGGCCTATTTGCCAGACCCTCAGCCTCAGCCAGGGCAATCACCGAACCCTGGAAGCCTGGAGGAGTTCAGGCTTGGAGGATCCCGATGTTGTGGAGGGCTCGACTCTTGGAATCTAGAGCAAAACGAACTCCATTTCGACTTGGCAGAACCCCAGACTCAGGACACTTCAGAATCAGGGAGTTTTGTAATGCACCAGGAGAATCTCAGGCTGAGAGCCACAAAGCCTGGAGTTGTCTGAGAGCCGCTCTCCTGGGGAGGACAGACTCAGGGCCATCGGCCCCTGCTGCCAGCCCCTCCCTGCCAGCCCTGGGGTGGCTTAGTCCCACTTCCCCAAGACTCAGGAGGCCAAGCCAAGAGCCCGCGTCCTCAGAACCAGAAGGGTGGAGCAGCAGCTGTGTCCTGAAAACTGTCCTGGCCTAGTCCCAGGGCTGAGACCTCTGGGAAGGGTCTAGGAAGGGTCTGGGAAGGGTCTCCCGGGTACTCCATCCTCTTCACTTCCTGGCTGCCCCCAGGCCTGGTCCAGCACAGGACCTCCAGGAAGGCAGTCTGAAGGGCCAGCAGACCCCCAAGCTGTGCATGGATGAGGGTCCTGTGCATTAATGGGCTCAGGGGCTCTGGCCGGGGCAGGAGTAGAGAGGGTTCTGTCCTGCAGGGGTCTCTGTGGGCAGTGGCCCCAGGCCCAGCTGAGACCCTGACCCCTCACCCACTAGCCCGGGGACTCCGCTGCCACGTGTGCTCCAGCTCCACCAACTGTAAGCAGCCGCAGACCTGCCCAGCCAGCTCCCGCTACTGCAGGACCATGACCACAGGTGGGTGGCAGCCCAGCTGCTGCAGGGCGTGGGGGACCACAAGGGAGCCACGCTCGTGACGGTTTGGTCTTAGTGGTAATCCTGGCCCAGAGGTGGAGGGTGCCCATGGCAGCTGGACTCGGGGCTGTGTGGGTGTGGGCTGGGGTGAGGCGGGCAGGCCTGACACCCCGTCTATGTGCAGTGGAGCCCCTGTCGGGGAACCTGGTGAGGAAAGAGTGCGCAGAGTCGTGCAGGACCGACAACAGCCAGCAGGGCCAAGTCAGCAGCGGCGTCCAGTCCACCCAGTGCTGCCAGGACGACCTGTGCAACGAGCAGCTGCACGGCTCTGCGTCCGCCCGCACCCTGCTCAGCGGCGCCACCCTGGGCCTGCTGCTGGCCCTGGGCCTCCTCGCCATCGTGGCCCCCAGCCTGTAACCCCCCAAGGCAAGGGTGTCACCCCTTTCCGCCTCTCTCCTGGGGCCCCCCACAGTCCCCTTTCTCCCTGGCCTTGATGGGAGTGTCCGATGCCCAAGGCTCGGCCTGCCCAGGAGGCTGGGCCAGGTCAGGGTGGAGAGCGCCTCCCCCAGGACGGGAGGGTGTGGCCGGCCAGGCACGCGGGAGGGCGGACAGGCCACCCTGGTCCCCTGGTTTTGTACTTGCTCCTTTATTTTTCTACTTGAGCCTCTGCAAGGAAATAAATGATGTAAAACAGCGTGGGTGTGGAATGGGGGTGGGGCAGGAGACCCCAGTCTCCAGCACTGGCCACCTGGGGCAGCCTGGGCCGCGCGTGCGGGCAGTGCAGGAGGCTTCACCACCCCTGGAGGGGTCAGGCCCTCCCCGGTGCCTCCAGCAGCCTAAGAGGAGGAAGGTGCCCCTGGGGTGAGGCACCGTGGAACACAGGCCACATCCCTGAGATCTGGGTACAAGAGGCTCAGAGAGACCCCCAGTCTTGAGCTCTGTAGACACTGCTCCAAGGCCAGGCCAGCTGTCCCCTGACCACACAGAGCCCAGCAGCCCCTGGGCCAGAACTCACCCAGGGGAGCTGGGGGCCTGACTCGGCAAGAGGCTAGGTGCGGTGGCCCAGGAAGGGCCTGAGGACAGCACAGGCTCCAGCTGGCTTCCTGCCAGGCTTGGACATTCTCCAAGTTGGAGGCTGCGGTGGAGTGAGAGAGATGCCCAAGCAAACATCGTCCCCATCCTGGGAGCAGGCCAGTCACACTCCCCAGGAGCCATCCTCTGAGCCTCCTGGGGTCAGCACAAGGTTCTGACCCCCGCCAGGACTGGCACCGTGGCACCCTGGCACTGTGGCACCCTGGCACCGTGGCACCCTGTCTGGGCAAGCTCCTCAGTGGCCCAGCATTACCCTGCCCCCAGCAGACAGGAGGGATGGCACCGAGGAGGGGTCTGGCCTCTGTTCCCCGTGAACCTGCCCTGAGATAGGCATTCTGGACACGCTGGCTCAAGCTGAGGGCCCTCAGCCTGGCGCACTGTGAAAGGTGAAGTGTGACCCAGGAGTGGTCACTCAACCCCACCAGCATCTTGCCTCCCCTGAGACCTGGGCCCATGTGGAACCTCAATGCCCAGGCTGCCCCTTCAGCCCTGGGCCTGGCCTGGGTGAGCCCCACAGCCTCACCCTGTCAGCCCCGTCTCCACACCCAAGCCGTTCCTCTGGGCTGGCCTGGTCATTCCTGGTCCTCACCAGGTGAGTTGAGCAAGACACTCGACCTCCCAGAGCCTCACCCACCTGGTGGGATCAGCATCTGCCCCTGGAGCTGGTGCCTGTGAGGGTCCCCTGGTCTTCTGCAGGGCCACTGATGAACGAATCCTCCTCGCAAGACAACTCGCCGGGGAGAATTCCAACTTTATTGCAAAAGGCTCTGTGCTAACATAGATCTAGGAGAGATGGCAGGGCTTAGATAAATGGCAGGCCGCGCGTTTATTGGCAAGTTCTTCCAGATATCAGCTCTGGAGCCCAGGAATTAGTTCTTACTGGGGCTCAGGTTCCCCGCCAGCGAGATTTGAACTTGGCGCCGGCAGGAGAGTTCAACCCGCGGGAACTTTTCAAGCCAGTGGAAAAAAAGGGGAAAGTAGGAAGAGAAGGTCCTTAGACGCCATGTTGGGGTTTTTCTCTGGGGTGCAGCTGCCGTTATACTTTTCCCAACAACTGCCCCTCCTTCCAGCCTCTGCAGGGCAGCAGGCTTTCCCTCTTGCTGCATGTACAGCTGCATGTACAGCACCCAGTGATCGGCTCCCGTTGGCAAGTGTGCCCCAGGGCTGCAGGGAGGAGCTCCTGGGGCCCCTTTTGGGCCAGCCACCCCTGGTAGCTGCCAGATCCGGGTGTCTGAAGGCACCTGCCAGGATCATTCTCTTCCCCTGACCAAGCCACCCAGAACCCGTGTGTGCCTCTCACTGTCCCCGCTGGGCACCCAGGACAAGGTACAGTCTGGACATGGGAGTCAGGCAGAGCCAAGGGCAGGGGCACGCATGATGCAGACCCATTCCCCATGTGGACTCGGAGGACAGGAACAGGGAAGTGCCTCCTGCTCACTCCACAACAAGCCAGCTACAGAGTCCAGGGGACAGCCACAGCCACCTTGGGCAAGGGAGGCTCTGGGTCCAGCATGGAGGCAGGGAGAAGTGTGCCCCCACCCCAGAAATTAGGCCACCGAGTGAGTGCCGTCTGGCGGGTCAGAGAGGCTCTCTAAAAGTGGTGAGCAGTGAAGGGACAGCAGAGGTGGTGGGTGGGCGTGTGCAGGCCCAGGCCAGGGTGCAAAGCTGTCTGCACTCTCGAGGGCGCCAGGCTCCTGTGTGGCGCAGCAGTGCCTGTGACCGGGCAGCTCTCCAGAGCAAGCCCACAGCCACAGCTCCTAGCCAGACCCTGTGCCGTGGCCTGCAGTCCCTGGGGCCTGACTAGCCTCCTGGCTACCTCGGCGTGACCCCACTGGGCAGCCCCTTCAGTGGTCTTAGGCTCAACCTGACCCCAACCTAACTGGGATCCACCGCAGGCCAGAGCCCTGGGCAGGGTCTGCAAAGGTGGGGGCCCTGTGGGTGTGGACAGAGCTTCCGACCAGTGGGAGCCCCAGCCCTGCCCTCTCCTTCCTGGTGCCCTCAAGGAGGGACTCCCCATGTAGAGCCCAAGCCCAGAGCCTGCACCATGCTGTGGGGGAGGTGATGGCAAGGGGCAGGGCTCCCGGATGGCCACCCAGAGGTGGGTGCTGACCCCTCCTGACCACATGAGACAGGGAGGGCTGCCTCTCTCTGCCTTAGCAGAAATGCTCCACACAGCCCAGCCCCAGGGCCGCCCTAGGCCATCTTCAGCCTCGCCAAACACTGGTCCTCAGCCTGTCAGGAAGGACAGGGCTCTGTGCCTCCCTGGCCCCCAGCACGGGCACCCCATCCTGGACAAGGCCTGGGGGCAGCCCCACCACCTGCCCTTCTGGTCAGCTACCAGCCAGCTGGGTTGGCATGTGACAGGCCCTCTTTCTGGTCCTGCCATGGACAAGCTAGATGGTGCCACCTGTCTTCCCCCCGATGCTCTCAAAGAACCAACAGGTGGGTCCCGGCCCTCTTTGGTCCAGCTCTTTCCAGCTCGTGGTTGTGTGGCCGCTCTTCTCCTTCTCACAGCTCCCTTGGGCTGCCTGCTCTGGTTGGTCTGCTCGTGTTGTTCTGTTTTCTGGTGTTGTGGTGTGAACTGATGAATCAGTAAGAGTGTAAGTTACAGGTTCTAGATTAGTAAAAAAAAAAAAAAACAGATTATAGATACAAGGTTTTGATGAGTCAGATAAGACAATTATAAAAGCAAGAACTGTCACAGGCAGGCCTCAGCCTCCATTTTGCTGCCTTCTCTAAAAAACTGTTGCAATGGGACTGGGCCGTGACTGAGCGGTACAGCACTCACCTAGCACGTGCGAGGCCCTGGGCTCAGTCCTCAGCACCCCATAAAAATAAATAAATAAATAAATAAATAAATAAAATGAAGTGTCCAACTACAACTGAAAAATAAAAACTGTTGCAAGAGCTGTTTCTGAGAAGCTGAAATGAAAGCTGTTTTCTTATAAAAATTGTTTTTCTGCACTTTGTACCCCAGAAACCGTGCCCTATTCAGGATGCAGTGGTGGTCGTGGTGAGCCACATCCTGGGTGCCCTTGTGGGTGTACATGACTTTGAGATAGATTCTCGCTCCCACCAACCCCTGCCCCAATTCAGGAGGCGACTGCCTAGCACCGGCTTGAACCCGGGACTGCGGCCAACTGAACTGCAGAGCTGATGCCTTTTCTAGCTTCTGTACTTGTTGCTTGCTAACTGGAAAATTCCAGTCCTGCTGAGGGCTTGCAGGTCCAGCTTGCTGTTGTTTGATCTCTGTGATTGGCTTACTTGCATGAATTCTTTACGTTCCCAGGATACAGGCCAGGAGGTTGCCGTTCTCCCACAGAGCTTCAGTCTCAATGGGTGGGTGACAGTCCCTGACCAGATAAATAAAGTGCTCATTGATTTGAATGTGGACTTAAGTGTTTTCTGAATGGCTCCCCATTACCCAGAAGGTGGAAGATCAGGTCCTTCCCGAGTCCTGCCCAATCCAACACAGCCCCTGGGCCTGCGGCAGCTGCCTCTGCAGCCTAGGGCCCCCTTTCACCTTCCTTCAGCTGGAAATATTTCCTGATTTCCTTTTTTATCTCCCCACTGATCAATAGGTTATTTAGAAATGTGTTGTCAGCCAGTTTCTAAATATTTGGAATCTTATCAATATCTTGGTTATTAATATCTAATTTCATCCCATTGCAGCTCAAAAGGAAAATGATCTGCCTCATTTCCATCCTCGTACGTCCACCGTCCTGTTCCGGGTTGGGGTGTGTTCTCTTTCTGCAGGACGCAGTGCTCTGGGGGGCCCCACGGCCACTGGGGCTCTCCCCCGTACCTTGCATCCCATCAGGAGTGTCTGCTGCTTTGTGTGCTTTGAAGCTCCGGTGTCAGGTCTTGAGCTTCAGGCTGCTCTGTCCCCCGATGACCCTCTACCACTTGGAAATGGCCTCTGCTCCCGTTTCTTCCTGTGCTTGAAACCTGCTCTGTGGGATATCGCTGAGTCCTTCCTGCTTCCTTTCTTTCCCCCAGCCCCCACCCCGTGGTACGGGGATTGGACCAGGGGTGCCCTAGCACTAAACGGCGTTCTCAGTCCTTTTCATTTTTCAACCTTGAGACAGGGTCTGACTGAGCTGCCCAGGCTGGCCTTGAACCTGTGACCGTGCCACCTCCACTGCACCTGGCTCTTTCTCTTCCCTCTGTCTCCATCCTTCAGTTCTAACCTACTTATGTTTGCAAGGGTCCCTGGGGTTCCTGGCAGCGGCTGTCAGGCTTCCTCTCATCAGTCCGCCTGTTCTGGAGGAGGGTTAGAGCATCATGGTGGGGTCGGCGGGACTCTGCCAGCTAGAGTCCTGTTCCACTTGTCTCTTCTGTTTTTTTTTTTTTCCCCCTTTTTCCTCTTTTTCTGTCTTCTCTTTAATAAACAGGTTGATTTTGTTATGATTTTATATTGTCTCCTTGGTTGATTTATTATCTAGAACTTGATGTTTCCCTATTTCTTTTCTTCAGTCATTATTTAATGCTTACACCTTAACTTATTACAGTCAACCTTCAAGAAATATTGTGCTGGACACAGTGGCACCTGCCTGGAATCTCAGCAGTCTGCAGGCTGAGGCAGGAGGATTGAAGTTCAAAGTCAACCTCAGCAACCAAGCAAGACCCTCAGCAACTTAGCAAGACTCTGTCTCAAAATTTAAAAATCTTTTTAAAGGGATGTGGCTCAGTGGTTGAGTGTCCATAGGTTTAATCTCTAGAAGAAAGAGAAAGAAAGAAAGAAAAGTAGATTGATTGCATTGAGCTGAGATATACCTGTAGTCCCAGCTACTCAGGAAGCTGAAGCAGGAGAATTACTTGAGCCCAGGGGTTCAAGACCAGCCTGGGAAGCACAGTGTAAGACTCACCTCCCCCAAAAGAAGAAATAAATCATTCCACACTTAGTCTAATACTTTAGAACAGTAGGCTTCCATGTTCTCTGTGAGGCACTTTGGCTCTAAGTTGCTAAAAGTTCCATAATACCTTCTTATTGTTTCTGCCCTGAGCAATCAATTGTCTTCTAAAATGATCTAAAAATCAGAAAATTTGCCATGTGCCTCCCAGGGCTGGTACTCTGTGTCTCCCCTTCCATCTCAGGGCTTCAGAGACAGCCTTCTGCCTTGGTGTCTGAGACTTCTCCATTTCACCTTTATTTTTCAAAGATATCTTTGCTGGGCATAGAATTTAAAATTGACAAGTGTGTGTTCCTCTTTGTTTTGGGTTGGGGAGGGTCCTGGTATTTTAGACACTCCTTTGTTCTGATGCCTGTGTTGATTCTGACAAGAAGTCATGGCCATCCTTATCTTTGACCCTCTGTACAAAAGTCCGTTTTTAAATCTTTCTCTTTTCCACAGTCACAAGTGACGTGACTACCATGTGCTCTGGGGTGACACTCTCCCGTTTCCAGGACACGGGGATGTGCTGAACCTCTGGGTCCACAGTTCATGGCTTACGTCAGATCACAAAAGGTTTGGCCATTACGCCTGTTGGAGGTCCTCCTCTCAGACACCCCGGGCCATGTGAGCCCTCCTGAAGGTGCCCGGCAGGGCTCCAGCCTGCTGCTCTGTGCTTCCTTCCCAGTGGACCCTAACGTGTCCTCAAGTTCAGGGACGGTCTTCTGCAGTCTAATCTGCTGGTGGTTCTATCCCGCGTATTTGCGGTGTATTTTCTGTCTAACTTACTTTCCACCTTTCGAAGTCAGGTTCTGTTTTAAGCTTCCTCTGCTGCCCCCCCACCCTGCCACCCCTCCACCCCAGTTCATGTCCTCCTCTACCCACTGGGACACATGAAATGGCAGCTGTGTCTCCCTGTCCCTGCCATTGACGCTCATCTCTGAATTCCCAGGCTTGTTTCTGGTCATTGGTCTGCATCCTCCGCCTGGCCAGTGATGCTTAATTGTTGTCAGGAGTTTCACTGGATGGGCTTCATATTGATCAAACTTTGAGTTTTGTTCTAGGAAGTGATCAGAAGCTTTTGAGGAGTGCTTCAGCTGCGATCCTTGGGGCCAGGGTGGCCTTTGGCCTGGGGCTGATTTGCCTGCCATAAGGCAGGTCCCTGCAGAGCAGGCCCACTGTGGCCTGTGACTGGCAGGGTTTCTCCTGGCCACGCTAGTGAAGCTCCCAGATCAGTGCTAGCTCTGGGGATTGTCTGCCGGCTCCTACCCAGGGGTGCTGTCCACACCTTTGGGTAGGTTCCCCAAACTCACACAAGGATCAGAACTCAGTTGAAGGTTGTGGGAAGTCCTCTACCAACCTCCTGGCTCTCTTCTGGGGTACTTTTGCCCTGTGAATTCCAGCATCTTTGCCCTCCTTAGACACCCCCAGTCTCCTTCCTAGGACACTGTGCACTGTTCCAAAACAGCCTGCCCAGTGCCTGAGGGCAAAGATAGCTCACTCCCTGCCCCCTTTATTCAGGGGTCACTGCCCTGTGCACTTGTAGAGCAAGATCTGAAAAAGCATTATTTTGTGTACTTTGCCTCGATTTTCAGTTTTTAAAGTCAGGACAGTGAATCCACTTCCCATTCTGTCATGGGGTCTGATGGTTCCACAGGGCTAGGATTGTGGGAATGGGGTGGGCTTTACTCCCTCCTGCATCAGGACTTTCCGCACATTTGGTGAAAAGCACGACCATCCAGCCCAGTTGCCATGAAACCCAGAATCAAGCTACCTTTCCAGCAGCCAGGCCCATAATAGAGTTAAAGAAGAGAAAGAGAAAGAGAGAGGGGGCGCTGTCAAGGTCAAAGGAACCAACACTCTTGAAATAAACCCATACAGCAACAGCTGAGCGTGTTGAGGGCTTAAGCATCGGACCTGCTTGAAGAAATCGGAAGTGCACTCACTGTCCTGTCCATAAAAACTGGAAAACAAGGCAAAATATCCAAACAATGTGATTTTTTTCACAATAGAAAAAACGAAAATTTTAGGGCCCATGAAAGTCTCTTAAATTTTGCCTTAAACAGGCCATAAAATAAAATGAAAAAGTTTTAAGTCATATAAAAATAATCATTTAACACTGGAATCACGACCGCGGAGGGAAGCGTTAACCACATGAAATGGCAGCTGTGTCTCCCGGACTTCCAAGGCTCTGCTAGTAGACCAAGGCGCAGAGACGTTCCCAGGCAGTGGGTCACCGGGCAGTGAAGCCGGCGTCGGTCCGGAGTCAGCTCACCCAGGGGGACGGGTTTAGCCCTCCCCGCCGCTGCAGGAGGAGCTCACCGTGGGAGGACTCCGGCGGGACACGGGGGACAGCGCTCGCCTGAGGTCACCAGGTTGACACTGCAGTGCTCCTTGAGTGTCGAGGTATCCGCGGGCAACCCTCGAGCCGGCCAGGGCCACAAAATACACAAAATACACAAAATAATGCTCAGTATAGGGGCAGCCCAGCGGCTGGGCCGGCGGTGAGCTCTGGTGGCAGAGTGGCGCGGGGCGGG